ATAAATAAATAAATAAATAAATGGTGAAGCTTCGTAGATGGAATATCCAATTTGGCCTAAAGCTCTAACATTCCCCCAGAGATCCACACATCAAACTCACTCAGTAAACCAAAGGTTGTCCCAGGTCACCAGGTAGGTGGAAAAACACCATAACTCTTAGGTTCCAGCAGCAATATCATCTGTGAACATCAGAAATACAGACGGTCTCAACAATAGCAGAAAAGGTCACGTGTTCGAAACAGGAATTTCGTGAAGTACGCACTGCTGCTTATTCCCACGCAAGTCAAAGCACCTGTAACAGGTTTTTCGGCTGTTCAGAATCGATTGGCCCTAGTTGACGGATTAGATTCGAATTGAAAATTACCGAACCTCCACACAGTGACTGTTACATCTGACCGCTGTTCCCACCCCAGTACCAGAAAGGACTCAACGACAAGGGTACACAACAGCAGAATGCGTGCGAATGAAGTTACAACGGCCTCGCGCTATTTAAAGGGCACTTTCCCACATTGATCCAGGCTGTCTGGTAGGCGTTTGGTGAGCACCCATCAATATCGATCGTGCTTCTATAAAATGCCTGAAGGTTGATCACATTCGGTCGCGCTTCTATGGTGTGCCTGAACACTCATCGGCTTTTGCTGAATCGATCGAATAACTAACTGGTCTGGATGCTTGCAGGCTTCTCCATTGAGATTTTGACGGAGTTTTAGGGTCGCAGTGGTTTCACTTCCAGACATCTGACGTTCCTGCTAATAACATCAAATGATTTTGTTTGAGTTAGTTGCAAGGCCTCTGAAATCGGCGGGATTGTCCAACAAATTTGATGCAGACTTCCAAGATAAGTCAAAATCAGGTGATAAGTTCACAATTCTCGACGTTGCACGGCTTACGTAAACAGACAGTTCAGAATCCTTGTTTGGTTGAACTGCACAAGGACGGTGGTGTAGCCAAAAAGACTATTCAAACAAGCAATTACGTATCACCTTTTCAAGCGTCTTTACAACGGTGATTTTTACATCTCAGATTGTGTGGACTTGCTTCCGCGACCTTGAAGTTTTTTTTGTGTGAATAAGTAGCACGTTTTGTTAGCGTATACAAGACCGGAAAATGTAACGAATGCTACTTGTCAGGAAGCCGAAAAATAGAGGGAGCGAGGATGTGAGTGTCGACAATCCACCTGTAACTATGGGCAGGTAAATTTTTACCGTTTGGGCTGGAAAAAACGGATATTGTGACAGAGTGATCGATTTCGGGGAATTCTTTGGCAGTCAGATGTGAACGATGATTAACCGTTCTGGTCAGAAGGTTTATTGGATATTTGAAATACCAGTCGCTTTGTTGGTTGTTTATGACGTTCTTATGTGAACAGTCATCATTTTTAGAGGAGAGATGTCACCCATCGCTATAACCTTGAATTGGAACTTCAATGATCCAAGTAACCCATTGTGGTGAACGCTCATTTCTAACTATGACGGTGAGTAGTATTTATTCATACAACCCGTTGAAGTATTTCCACTCGAGAATGTATCCGAAAGATTTCCGTTCGATAGATTACTTTTTGAAGAAAAATGTGGTTGCTAAATTTTAAACATCCCTTTTTTACGTAATTAAGACGTAGTTCACTGGTGGGGGGTGCAGGTTGGTCTCCCGTCCTGCATCGATCCCGATTTCCGTTGACCTGGGCAGAGATGACGTCATCTCGATTGTTGACCAATGGTTCCCCACAAAAACCTGCCAAGCTCAGTTAACGACGCATCAATCATAGCCAAGAAAGAGGTTTACTCCTAGGACTTGGGACACAAACGACCCTGGATCTCAAGGGACGTGTGCATCGAGTTACAGTACGGGCTGTTTTGTTGTATGGCTGTGAGACTTGGCCTAGTCGAGCAGCGAAACTGAGACGTCTTCAGGTGTTCGACAATCGTTGTCTCAGATCCATAGCTCGTGTGGGTTGGTGTCGACGAATCCGTAACAAGGCAGTTAGAAAGCGCGTTTTCGTTTGTGCAGCGGGTACTTCCATTGAAGAATCTGTCCAGCACCAGAAGCTGCGTTGGTTGGGACATGTTTTACGCATGCCGAACCATCGTTTGCCGAAGAGAGTGCTTTTTTCCATGTCCAACTTACAGTGGCGTAAACAGAGAGGTGGCCAACCCTTGACTTGGCAGAGGAGTATGAAGGAGATCACGAAACGCTTGGGTACTGTTGGTACTACTCGCTTTCCAGGATGGGGTCCGCGCGATCCTCACTGTGTCTGGTTGGAGACACTACAAGATATGGCTGCCAACCGATGTCAGTGACGTTCTTGTTGTCAGTTTCTATCCAGATTGCCTGAGTGAATGTCTGAAGGTGTAGGCACCTCGGAATGATTGTGATAAGCTGGCACTAAGTCACTTCCCTGTCCACCTTTTCTTTACAATAAGGCTTTCAAATAAATCATGGTTGTACGGCACCAAAGCTGCTGCTGCTGATGATTATGATGATGGTGATGATGATGAGACGAGTTTTGAGTTTTGAGTAGACAGACAATTGACGTGTCATCGCATTCTAGAAGCGTTTCTGTGGCACCGGAAGCAATAATCGCGAAGTGGGCGCAGTTAGTTGCAGCAAAACCATTAGAGATATAAAGCAGACCCTCCCCCATACAGACTCTCATAGCACGGGGAAACCATTCAGTAATGAGGTAAGAACATTTCCTCCCCCAGTAGGATAGCTTGCAAAAAATATTTCGGATTTCGTTAATTCCAAGATCATGTGGTCTGCAGTAGTCTCGACCAATCAGATCGGCGATGGTTAGGGCTTCTGATACTCTATTCGGTGCTTTATTCATTATTTTCTTGTTTTAATATTCCATATGCTGTACATATTTGACAATTCGAATACATACGTGCTGGTTGTTACGCTTCGCTGGGCTGGATTTCCGTCTGGTTATATACGTACGAAACTTAATTATCACATTTTGGCGCCGCGATTGGAACGATTCATCATGCCTGCCGAAATGAAATGGATAGATGTTAATT